ACCATGTCTAAATTAAGACAATTCATCAGCTTCTTCAACCTGACCAAATCATCATCGAAGACTGTTTGGGGGTCTGTAAGGAATAGAATGTGTTTTTACATAAGAAAATTACACCTCAAATGTTTTCGACATGCACATCATAATTTATATAAGACGATCATTTTACAGGAAATAAACATCTCAAAATTAGTTGTAATACGAGAGCTTTAAGAAAATAATTTGTACTAGAAAAAAGAAAATTTGACGTTATTCTGAAAAAAACGATGTTATCTTTTATCTTAGTAAAATTAGGTTATTTGTCATATCATTTCTAAATAAGGACAAGTCATTGGTTAATGTCGGTGTAAATCTGGCTGAGTCTACGTGATGTTGGAAAGAGATATCAGCACGAGCACCAGCCTGCTAGTTCTGCACAAATTCAGTTAGGTATAACAAAATTGTTTTCCATTACATGAAAAAGAATATCCTTTTTTATAATACTGCTCCTACTTTAAATACTTACTGAAGTGTTTTGACATTGGATGAATCTTTGTCGAGAGATCTTCTATCGTTCGTCTAAACTCAATTGTCCCGAAACAGCCTGCCAAATATAAACGTTTTGAGAACAATATGATCTGGCTAACTCTTCAGCTTTGTTAAACCAGTGATCATTCTCCCAAGCCAAAATTACACGTTCTATATGTTTTAACATTACGTTCACAGTCTTTCAAAGTATTGCATATAATGCTCATGGTCACAAATACATTCGTTTGCATAAAAGATAGTTTACCCTAACCATTAATGGAATGGTGAGAAATTTATACTGCCTAAACTATAAAACATAAATGCACTTGTAAATGATGATACGTTGAAATTCTCTTTTAGTAATAATCATTTCTTATCACAAATACATACTTGTACTAATCCATGATTTTAAATTAGTGCTAAATAAGTCATGGACAATCACGAAACATATTTATGTTGGCCATTTTATTTCGGGTTCAAATTGTTTCTCCGTACAATAATTCTTTCAAACCAAGATCATTTGTTATAACTGTGACAAAGTATTTTGTATGGGTATCTTTACCTGTCATATCATGTCGACCTATGTTAATCAAAGCATCATCAAGTTTACATCTCATCTCGTAGTTACTGCATTCCTCATTGACAATCCAATCACAAATCATTGACTGGGTATCAAACAACATTTTATTGTTTTCATCTAAAATGTTGAATATGCTCTTCTGACCAATGTCTGGCAAGGCGTTTGCCAATCGCTTGCCGTGCCTGCTCGTCAGTTTGCGGACGAATACCTTTACTTCCTCAAGGTGAATGGGCTTCTGAAGATGAGTGGGTACTGTAAATAAGAAAGCGATGGAAACACTTATGAAATACCAAAAATAACTTTGGTACACAATGTACATTATAGCCATACATAGATGTAACCTTTGTAGAAATCCAGTTACATATTTGTTGGCAAGCCGTATATATCATTAAATCCTAAGCTTTCGGTCACCTACATTGTCTACGTTTTGGCTCCAACTGTTTCAACTGTTTCGAATCCACCATTTTAAGTAAAAGGAAACGTGTAGCGACAATATAGGGACGTCAACAAGCTCAACATTTATTTTCTTGCATCATTGTTAGAACACAGATATGTCATTACATCCAAATTAGAGAAAAGTTTCTTTCTCCAACGTGTTATTAATTTATTTATTTTAAATGGTTTATTTCATTAAAAAAACATTCGTGGCCCGAGAGCCGAATTGCAGTTTCTTTTACAAAGTATACATCAGTGACAAAGTAAAATTACAAGTAAAACATTATGCATGGTCAAGTAAAATTGCAATTATTTTGTACATATGATATATAATTGTGCTTCAAAGACCTTGGCAAATTTCTTTGGACATATACATGAATTGTGTTACCATATTTGCAATAAACTTATATATTGAACTTATACAATATATGAATAGTAATACATTTTTGATGAAAAAAATGTTTGACCTTGACAAAAATGTTTGAAAAGGTAATGACTAAAGAAAACATTATCAATCTAAAAGAAATGAAAATACTAGCACCCAATTTGTTCACAGTCATACAATGTCGATGTGTGATGATGGGAATTGTTATTTGTATTACAAGTACGAAAAGGAAAAGAATGACTGGAATATATAGGTATTAAAACCCCAAAGGACAGCGGTACCACCAACCTCTGAAGAATGTCCTGTCCACAGGATGGCACTTAGCTCTTTCTAACGCTAGGGTCAGCAGGACTATTGGATGTTCATCTATAAACGGTCCTTTTTTCCATTCCTTCAATTTAGCATGAGCAGCTTGGATGAAGTCTTTGCCGGGTTTTGAATCGTCAAGTTCTGTTTCTAGGTGGCTTTGAAAAAGCTTATGAAGAAAGTTGGTTATCTTGTTTGGATCTTTTACCTGCCTCAAGATATGTTCCAGGATATCGTCAGAAATAGTCCTGTCCTTCCCGTACCTTCGATCTATATTAAATAAAATCATCATCTCATTCATTCCAATAAGAAGCATGTAGGCCAAATCTGAAACATCATATTTCATATTTCATTTTTTTTTTACAAGCCTTCTTTGACAGCCATATGCAGTCTACTTTATAAACAATCGTTGATGATGATACTAATGTAACTGGTAATGATAGTACAAATGGTATTGATTAACATATCCAAATTACAAAATGTGAGAAAAGATACTTGAGACCTTCAGGAATAAATATTGTTTTAAGTGCACGTCATATAATTTCATGGTTAATAATGTTTTACTTATCTTCTTTATTTCTTGAATACATTTATTATCATACTCCATCAAAATACATAAAAACATACCATTTATATCTTGCCATACGTTGTTGAGTCCAGCTTCAATCAAATGTACCTTCAACGCTAGTAGTTGATCAGAAGCAGGATGCTCTTTCTTCCATTTACAGAGTAATAGATACAGCTGCTTCTTTGTCGTAGTCTCGTTTTTGTCTGCATCCAGTGCCTGGAGAGCCCGACGTAGGCCCGATGTGTCCACAGTACCTTCCAGGTGTGTATCAACCATTGACCACAGTTCGAAATAGGACAATGCTCCTAATTTGAAACAAAAGCAAAGGATCAATATTTCACTAATTACTTTAAATGAAAATAATTACGATTACAGGGCAATATCAAATGAACAGTGCCTACAAACCAACACATTTAACGACACACAGGGGAAACTATATAGCCTACTATTGTACCACAAGTTAACTATTAGGAAACTAACAAAGCCACATAAGACTTACCACTATAAAGCATGAAGCCCTATTTAAGACAAAGGTTAACAACATGTACAGATAATTAAAACATTATATAAGTAGAAATATTTGGTTTATCAGATCAGAAACAATTCACGGCAACTGATAATTATGAATAAATGATATATGGATGGAAGGTTTTTCCCTTTAAAAACACGAATAATTTGCTGAAAAATCCTATGTATATCGTGGAAAGGCGCAAAATGATATCTATTTTTTGGCTAGCTGTGTCTCGATTGTGACCTCACGAATATTGACGCTCTACAGAGGACCGATGAAGGCAGGAAATTTGGATCTCAAAATTAACATTTTTGAGAAAAAGTTACTGCGGGCCTCGAAAAGGGAAGTTGTTAAATTTGATCAGTAAGGCTTCCCGTTCGCAATAATTGTTTTCATCAATTCAAAACACTTTTGATTATTCAGGTGACTACTTTGATTTGACTTATTCAGAGAATGAGATATCTTCACTTGTGTTCTACCATAAAACGAAAGTGATTGAATGGTTACTCATAATTACACCTTAAACTACCAAAAAGGGCAATTGGGAGCCTGGGAGGTAGTTGTATGGGGAGAATTTCGTTTGTTGTAAAGGATAATTCAGGTTCTTCATATAATACGTTTAGATCAACTGAAGATGTACATGCCAGCATTATTCACAACATGTAATGTTAGTTTCTTGCAAATATTGTAATTCATGTCCAGAACACCATATACTGAGTTTCCTTAAAACCCATCTAGATAATACCTATATTCATTTACCAAAGACACAATATGTTCAAGTAAAACCTATACTCGCGTCTTGTTGTCTTCATCTGAAGTACAACGGGATTATCATTGTTGGTACTTGGTAATTACCGTAGAAAAATGTCCTATCCACTGGATTGCAGCCACTCATCTCCAAAGCACGACACAACAAGACCATAGGGTTTTCGTCGAACGGTCCTTTATTCCATTCCCTCAGTGCTTCCATTGCTTGTTGGATGTCATCTTTCTCTGCAGAAGCTTTCAGAGTTCTGGCTGAGCCTGGAACCAGTCTAGTTAGGAATTGCTTAACCTTGTTTGGGTTGCCGATTTCGACCAGTATTTGCTTCAGTGTGCCTTCAGATACAGTGGTAGAGTTCTTCTTTCTTTGTTCTTTTAAAGGTTGGGAATCATATAAAAATGCATGTGATCCATAATTCATGGCCCGAGTTTCATTTATGAAACTACATTTAAGTAATTGATATTTTGTCTTCTTCGAAAGCCCCTTAAGTCAGGGTGTGCAGCAAACATGGTTTAGATTAACTGTGAACTTTAGAAATGTGTATCCCCCGCCCCTCCCGCCCGGAATATTGCTATGCACCCGTAAATATTGTCAACCCCTTCTTTTATCCGATATAAACTGTATTTGGATAACAATGGGAGCTTTTCACAACATCTGTATATTTTAGATGGCAGTTGACCAACTATTTTACTTTAAATGTGTTATATTATGTATTTGTTCACCATGTAAATTGTTTACAGATAATACAATAAGGTGGGTTACATTGAGATATAATACGTAGTAGCAACAATGCATAAATAAAAAATGTTTGAAGCGCAACGTCCCCAAGATAACATAGTTGAAACTTATTTAGTATAGACATAACATGGCTTACAAAAGCAAAACAAAATACAAAAATCATTTGAGTAGAACATAATGATTCATAAGCCAAAGGAACGTTTGACAAACCTAGAATAATGAGCCAAGCTTCTTCAAAATCGGCTCTTTCAAGTGCATCTCTTAAGATCTTTGCTTGATCTGCTCGGTTGTGTTTCTCCTTCCAGCAACATAGAGCGTCATAAAGCTCTTGTGGACCTAGACCCCCTTCAACTTCCTCCTCTATTCCAAGTTCACGTACCGTTTTACGTAACTTCTCCAGGATCGGTGTGGTCAGGTCAAAGATCAGTGATCTAAGCTCATAGAATGACAAAGTGCCTGCAAGAAAACAATAGTACTTTTTTTTATAGACCATCTTGACAATGTGGCAGTGATACATTACTCTAGATACTAATTGATCCATTACATGAAATTCTAATTTTTGTGTGTGTTTATAAGTTTATCATTACATAAAGAGTTGCTACAATCAAGGAAGTTAATATTATTTGTTCGTTCTTCTCCAATTTTGATTGACATTGTGCATTTACACAAACGACAAGTAACAAAAGTTGCTGATATTGTCAAGAAATTTGTTACGAAGAGCGTGAGTTTACTTGAAACAGATATTTGAGTGAAGACATGAAAAAGAGAATGGCTCTGATTGATCAGAATCTACATTGTTGCTTCTTCGTCAACACGTACCACCCTACCTTAAAGGAGAGGCTAGGTTCCGGTAAGAATGAATATTTCGAGAGTTGTATCACTCTCTTAGACGAGTATCAAAGTATTAGAAACGATCTTAAATTCCGATGATGACTACAATTTGTTAACAGTTTTCGACCGAATTCTGTCACCTAATGTTTGTCGTCCCTTAGACTGATGTGCATGTGTGTTGATGTTCACTGCCTCTGGCGGCTTAATTTTCATTGAATATTGAGATCCGATATGATATGATTTGTACGGTTTAGACTTGACTGCGATTTGTTTTCCTGTGGACGAAGACATTACGTGGTGGGTGTATTACAACATTAAAAAAGGCAATGTCTTTTACCTTCAAAAAATGTCTTCGAAACTTGGGAACATCCAGCTCCCTCTAGAGCAAGACTAACCAGCACGAAGGGATTCTGGGTAAAAGGGCCTTTATTCCATTTCTTCAATTTCCTCATGCTTGCAAGATATACATCTTCCTTCTCTTCTGCACCACCAGAACATATTTCTGTATCTGACTCAATCTCGTTCTTTCCTTCTCCATTATCGTGGCTTGATGCTGCGTCAAGAACAACGTAATTCATCTCTGCTTTATTATCGACCTCGACTTCTGCATCTGGTATCAGCTTACGTATGAAATTTTGGATTGGTTCAGGCTTTTCCAAGTCATGTACTATTTGTTCCAATGTTTCTTCAGGTACCTTAGTAGAAGCTTGCCGTCTTTTGTCTGTGAAAACGACACAAAAGGTTCGTAGAGACCACGTTTCATTAAAAAGTACTAATAAGTTCATGATAAGGGTGGTTATAACATTTCGCGGCATCAATTCCTTTTAACAGATACTACGTCGGTTTAAAACGAGCAGAATTTCCTAATATATCTTCCTGAACAAGAAGACTCTGAAAGAGGTGTCAGAATTTGGCGTTTTAACAACTTCGTATTACTCTTCAGATAAATTAAGTTGGTTGGTATATTTTATAGCATATATAAGTTGAAAACAATTCTACCAAACTTAAAATTAAAGTTAAGCTTTCATACAATACAATGGAGTTTCCAATGCAGGTGACTTCACACTAATTGTGTGTGTAAGGTCACGTGTTGCCAATGGGTAACTGTGTTTCAATGTTCTCATCGTGTGCATACCATATATCTGTTGCCACCTGGTTCCAAGATCCAGATCTTCTAGAGCATCTCTTAACATCTGTGCTTGTTCGAGTGTCTTTGTTGCCTGTTTCCACCCGCATAAAGCATCATACACCTGCTTTCTTCTCATTTGCCCCTCGATGTTTGTAATTCCCAGCTTGATGAGAGCATCACACACCTTCCCCAAATCATCCTTCGGCGTGTAATACGCGAGTAACCAGAGTTCATAGAAAGAGACGACCCCTGAAAACGTGCCATTTGTTACGACTTCGATATTAGAACCAATTCAGTAACATTTAGGTACACTTAACACGTTATATGCATACATATCTATATCTTGTATACAAATATATGTATATCCGCACCTAGACCTACATGTTATCAGTGAACCAAATTAAGTAGACCTTAATCATGGATAATCCATAATAAAGATCCGCGAGGCTTGCCTAGTGACGAAACTATTACTTCTGCCGAGGTTGCTGTTTAGATTTTTTTTTGGAATGGTTATCGGCATTCAATGAATTCTTCTTTGTAGTAATGTTGAAAATAATGTAAATTGGAAGTAATTTTTGTTATACTGGGACCGTAATTAAGCCACCTATATCAAAACATAATCTTTTATTTTCATAAATAATGGATTTGCCCTGCAAATGTTTATCGTATACTATTCGTTTCAAATCGTAACATAGAAGAGGAAGTAAGGGACTGTCTATCAACAAAACAAAACATCCCTCCCCCTTTCCCACTCAAAGAACATAAACTTGTTTAACATTAAAGTGTAGCCTATACATAAAGCATAAATGTAATCCTGCGACCTACCTACTACATGTACCTTCATTTTCTGCACCATTGGCATAGACTCCTCGTCATCTTTGTATTTAGACGTACCTACATGTGAAATATGTAAGAGGATATTGTGCCTTTTAAACTGTGATGAGACGAAAAATAAAAGTTAGTGGCTACTTGAATAGCACAAGAACTGTTGTGCATATTTGATGAAGGGTAAATTGTTTGAAGATTATCAGAGACGAAGCTTTTATTGTCTGTAAATTCATTCACTTGAATATTAGACTTGTTATCATAACAGTTGAAAATGCATTAATTAATGTACTGGATGTCTGACAAAAAATTCATTTACGCAAACTTGCAAATATGCTAAGCTAGACACTGATATATAACAACTCAATGAGGTCGACGAAAGTTCAGAAAACATTTTAATATTTGTTGTTTCATTTTCAAATAAACACTACCCCCTACACACACAAAATATACAATACTACTGTAAACAAAAAGCCACTTAAAGGGCAACCCAACCTGTGAACAAGTTTATTCGAAAAGTGGGAAAATCAGAGAAAAAGCATGGCGAAAATTTGATTTAAACGGACTTTGATAAGAGAGTCACGAATGTTTAAAATATGAGATCACTAAGGCTACGCTAATCTTAAATTCGCAAACTTCAGTATCAGTGGATTTTGACCTACTCATGGACCCCTCTCTCGTTTGTCGTGTACAAAATATCAATGAGTTATGTTTTTTTTTTCTTCAAAAGTGGCATCTCTTTTGTGTCACTACTCAAAATATGTTTTAAATTACATAGTGCTACGGGTTCTTTTGGAGGAAAATACCCTCCTAAGTCACACATTCAAAAAACAAAATTCTAGTTAGGTTGTTTATTGGAACAAATGGGGAAACGGCCCGGGACCACGTCGACACTTCCTATTCAGCCAATTTAAAGTTACCATAAGCATGCTGATAACAGCTATTAAAATTCGTAACTTTCTCACATTTCGTCCGATTTCGTTTAAACATATAGCAATGTGCTTTATTTTGAATTACTTTACTATTAATGTTGGATTTCCCTTTCAATACCATATCAGAACTGAAAAATGAAATGGATTAATTATATATCAACAGTGATATTATTAGTCGTAGATTACACTAATATCAATTTTATGCCATTTGTATAGTTTCTGTCAGACGAGTATCAGCTCTTTGAAAACTCAAAATCTAAAGCTTTTACAATCTGAAGTTGTCGATTGCTATCGACTTAATGACACTATATTATGTGGAATACGCATATTCTCAATGAGTTTGCACTAATTAAGTACGGCGGCTCATCGCCTCAGCTATATAGGCGAACTGATCGGGTTCACATGTTATGTCGTTACTGTAACTTCGGCACATTTGACCTCTGTTGACCCGTAATCTGGAGGGGCGCGGAAAATGAGATTTTAAATGGCTTTTTTTTGCAATAATGAAAGGGTAAATACTTGTTATTCCTTTATACTTTATATCATTGTCACCATGTAAATACAGTGGTATTTTCATCGGATAGATCTCCCCAAGATTGCTTATTGTATTTATGATAAAGCTGAAAGATAAATTAATGATCATTGCGTCTATACTTAAAGGCAACCAAAACCTTCATACTAAGTTACTTTTATTGTAAAGTGTAAGATATTTATATAAAATCAGTGAAAATTTGAACAAAACCCGACAAGGAATAAGGAAGTTAAAGCTTTTTGAAATGACTACTCACTAGAGGGCGATATTCAATTTGATGACATCATCTAGGGACAACTCTCCATGCCTTTTGTACATCAAATTTCAAAAATATTTCGTCTTCTTCGTATTTATTTGTGTTCCTGATCCGACTTCATAACATGTGATGTAGGATATCATTTTGCATTCTATATCTTGCTTTCCGGGGAGTAGATTATCTCAATCACAAGAAAGAAGGAAAAACATAAAATTTGATGTACAAAATGCATGGAGAGTTGTCCTCAAATGATGTCATCAAATTGAATATCGCCCTCTAGTGACTAGTTATTTCAAAAAGCTTTAACTTCATTATTCCTTGCCTAATTTTGGTCAATTTGTCAATGATTTTATTCAAATATCTTAAACTTAAACAATAAAAGTAACTTAGTAAGAAGGTTTTTGTTCCCATTAAATACATACGTTTCTCTGCATGTAAAATGTATTCCAGATAAATGGGTGAATCGAATTACGCTATTATACTTACTTCTTCTTTGATGACGTTTCCACCTAATAAATGAAATGCCGGCCACAGCGATTATAACTAGGATGACAATTGGTACGACTGTGAAGTAGAAAATAGCAGTTATCTGGTAATGTCTTTAATCGATATGTTCTCATGGTGGACCAGGGAGGTGATAGAGAAAGAGTGGAAACTCTTGTTATTTATTCAAACACATGCGTGAGTTCTAAAGCGTAACAAAGGGCTTCGTATAGCGTAACATTTCATGCTCTGAGCCGTTTATCCACTACGGGAAATTTCCGATGCCAGGCACCGGTTTTACATTTAATACAGTTGCCGGAAAATTTCACTGTAAATTATGAACTTTATATGGGGATTGCATTGGGAGTAATGCAATCAAATAATTTGTTTAAATGTAGTACTCTTCGCCCCCTCTATAATAAGTGTGCAAGAGTTGGTAAAAGACAAATTAGATGCTGACACAGACTCAATATTTTAACGCTCTTTTATCTCACTACCTGGTCAACAGTTGCAGATAAGCGCATAACTTTTCGGCGGTTTGGAGCATGGGGACAAAGGGCAGAGGCTTGATTTCATTCCTCTATCACCAGCCCGTGCCTAACCCCCTGGCCCCATAGCATATAAATGTAACCTTTCTTTGGAGGAAGAAGACGGGCCCCTTCCCCATGGCTCAAGAAGGAGGGGGAGAGGTGGGTGCTGATTTTTTTTTAAATAGTGCTCCCTTCCCCCCCCCCCCTCTGTTTATTCGCCGGCTGGCTGATTCGGCGCTAAACATTTCCTCACGAATGGGGGGGGGGGGAAATGACACTATCTCTTTCTTTGCAGGTGGTGCATCAGTATTTTCTCTGGATAGTGTCGGAATGGTCGAATGCAGGAGCAGGAACAGATCCCAGCATGAGCATGCTTTCTTCTTTATATTTCAAATTCATTTTAAAGGTCGTATGACCCAAGAAACAAGGAATTGCATGCACATTTCTATTATGCTTCAGACTTTTTTTGTGTACAAAATATATTTAAATGTATAAACTAAAAGTCTTATTTCATTTGCTGTTTACTTAAGTAAAGATGCATGATATTTAATTTAATTAGGTTGTGTTTTCTAAATCTTTTGTTAGCTAAAATAGAAAGCATTTAGATACACATAAGAAAATACGATTCAATGTCTCTACATTAATTTCATATTCAACGATCATTCCTCGCTGAAGAATGTGTATACATATTAAAGTTATTGCAAAGTTTTGGTAAATTTTGAAAATT